TAATTTGGGATTCTAATTTATTTATTGAGCATCATTTATGTTTATAGTTTTGAAGAAAGCTATTTAGGAACTAGATATACATTTTATATAAAATCCATGGGTAAAATTTCAAGCTTAACTCTGTATTTTGGAAGAGGATTGCACAGTTTTCATTTAATAGAATTTTCATTTTCAAATGTAGGTAAGTCCTATTAAATATTACTTTTATATATTTTCCATAAATTGAGTCATTTAAAATATTGATACATTGTGATATTTTTGCTAAAACCCAGGACATATAAATTTGTCAATCAAATTAGAAATGTGTATTTTATACAGACCAACATATCTCAGCGCCTAGTCAAAAAGTGTTCCACTCATTTAAAATTTTTTTACTCTTTTAGTCAAGGATGCATTTCTTCTTATTCCCAGTCACACAATTTCACATAACTCTTTTTGTCAACAATGCTAGCTTTCTTAACAACTGCAACTTCTTTCCCTTCTGAATATCTTCATGTGTTTTCCACTAAAAGCACTTAGAATTATGACATTTTTTACCTAAGAGGGACATTTAAAGAATAACCAATGAATCTGACACCTCATTTTTGAGTTAAGAAATGAAAAGCCCCAAAATATAGCTAAATCACTATTATATAATCTAAGGGTTGATTCGGAGCCAGAACATCCAGGTTTCCTGACTACCAGCAAGACCAGTAATTTTTTCACTACCCTACATTGACTCTTCTGAATACTACATGAAATCTAATCTAAAAAGGTAAAATTATGTTGTATAGTGTGTTAATGAATCTTTGGTGAACTAAGAAATCATTGGTTTTTGTATTTTAATCTGTATCATTATTGCCCCAAGCATTTTTAGGACAATGGCTAAATATATATGGGATTACCATTGATAATGAACGTGACTACCACTTCAAACCCTAATCTCTTAATGCCATCATACAATTTTGTTTCAAACTGATGAAGGCCTCACATTCTTTCATACTTGCCCACCTTGTGGATCCTACTCTCATTTTCTGACTTAATATTGCTTTAAGCTGTCTCTACTGTCTATTTTCTTAGTATGCATGTATTTTTGTATTATTTTAGTCATTCTTATATGCTTATAATCTAGGATTTGTCTAAGTTAATATAGTATTCCTAAAGTTTGGTTAGAACTGACAGGAAAATTACGTTATGAAGACAGAAATTGCAGGACTTAAAAGCCCATCTTAGAGGTGATAGAAGCCGTTATTTAAGGGGTAAGCTTTGCACACAAGTGCTCAAAAAATGTTTTAAACATTTTTAATTTGAGGAATTCCTAGGAAATGTGATTACAGAAAGTTGGAGAACCAAAGGCCCAAAATTTCAATTCTGATTCCTGGTACTAAATGTTAATTCTACTAATTACCTTATCTTTTCACAGGTAAAATCCTACCTGGGAAATGCTTCTAAATTTGGTCATTTTAGTTCAGTCCAAGTGGACTCAGAAAAATAATCACTTTCATTTGTTTCTTAACTTTACAAGAGAAAAGGCAGTATACTGAAAAGCATGTGAGCTTTTGAGCCAAATTGACATGGATCTGAATAACTCTGCTACAAATTATGTTCCCCTTGGAAATTATTTAACTCTCTGAGTTAGCTTTTCTCCACCTAGTTAAGGAAGTTAAGAAACTAATACCATTCTTTCAGAGTTGTTGGAAGAATTAAATGAGATGTCATGTAAAACACTTCACGTAGTTTCTAAGAACACAGCAGGTGCTCAGCAAATGTCAGTATCTTTCTTATCCCTTTTATAGACTATATAATACATTTCAACAAATAGCTTCAGTATTTGCCAAAGTATTTCAGTATTTTCTTTCAGTAAGAGAAGTCAACTTTAACTTAGAATATGCACGTTTTTGCCAGAAAGATAGAAATAAAATCAGCAATCTTGGAAGGCATTAAGATACAATGTTGAGGCTGGGCACAGTGGCTCACACCTGTAATTCCAGCACTTTGGGAGGCTGAGGCAGCCAGTCACAAGGTCAGGAGTTCGAGAGAAGCCTGGCCAATATGATGAAATCCCGTCTCTACTAAAAAATACAAAAATTAGCCAGCATGGTTGCGCGTGCCTGTAGTCCCAGCTATTCAGGAGACTGAGGCAGAAGAATCGCTTGAACCCAGGAGGCGGAGGTTGCAGTGAGCCGAGATCGCGCCCCTGCACCCCAGCCGGGGCGAAAAAGGGAAATTTCGTCTAAAAAAAAAAAAAAAAGATATAATGTTGGAAAATATGTTAACCTTCTTAAATTTAAAAAATCAGAAACCCATACAATCCAATCCAATTAAAGATTCACTTCAAAGAAGTCTTTGTTAAAAGTATTGTGAGAGCAGTACACCAAGATGATTAAAAGCCTTAAATACTTTTTAAAAATTCAATTTCAATCATCTGCACTAATGGAAGAAAGTGTGACATGGATAATTCAAATTAGAATGCAGTCATGCATCAAGTAACAACAGGGATACATTCTGAGAAATTAGATGATTTCATTGTTGTGTGAACATTATAAAGTCTACTGACAAAACCTCAATGGCAGAGCCTACTACACACCTAGGCTATATGGTATGTCTTATTGCTTCCAGGTTATAAACCTGTACAGCATGCTGTACTGAATACTGTAAGCAACTGTAACATAAGAAGTATTTGTGTATCTAAATATATACTGACATAGAAAAGGCACAGTAAAAATATGTGGTAGTATAATCTTATAGGACCACTGTAGCATTTGTATTCCATTGCTGATCAAAACATTGCTATTCAGTGCATGGCTGTACCTTACTTGTGCCTTGTGAATTTTCCAACGACTGTTTTTATCTATTATCTAACATGACATCAAATTAATTGGCCGAGAATTTCTTTTCTTTTCTTTTCTTTTTTTTTTCTGACAGGGTCTCGCCCTGTCACCCAGGTTTAGCTTCCTATGTAGCTGGGACCACAGGCACATGCCGCTACACCTGGATTTTTAAAAAACAATTTTGTAGAGATGTGGTCTCCCCACGTTGCCCAGACTGATCTTGAACTCCTAGCCTCAAGCAATCTTCCCACCTCAGCCTAAGAATTTCTATATGCTCTAAGGATTGTGCTTTCTCTACTACCAAGTAAATTATTCTTTCAGGACTCTGGAATATGTTTTCTCCTACAAAAAAAAAAAATCCCTTCTGAATTAAATGTATTATAGGCTAATATTAAATTATATTGCATTATTTTGATAGCAAGTAATGATGAGCAGAGTCAGTCCAAAATGTATAGAGCACAAGAAGAAGATAGAAGAGGATTTAACATTTTCTAAAGATAATATTAAATTAGCCTCAGACTAATTGATTAGGGAATGAAGCTGATGAGCAAAGATCACAAAGGAGGAGCTTTTTGTGAAATGTACTAGTCAGAAGGGAGTTCAGAATACCACGACAAACATTCTGAGAGTTTGCTTAACTAAAAAGAGGTCAATTGACACATCTTCCAATGAATGAATAAAGAGCAAAAAATTGGTTAAGAGTTAACATTAGAACCAACTAATAATCCATTTATAACACAACTGATCTTATTGAGCTCTTGTAATCAACTTAAATTTCCTGAAAGATGTTTAATCGCTTTACAAAAAGCTTTCTGCTGATGCTATAATTTCAATTTAAGTCCATGCTAAAAGAATCTTGTTTTTCGCTTAAATTGTAAACACTGTATGTAGATGGTGTGCAAAAAGACAAAAGTATCATTTCACTAATTTAGCCCACGAATTAATCACATATTTTTTTTTTCTTTTTTTGAGAGAGAGACTCTCGCTCTGTCGCCCAGGCTGGAGTAAAGTGGTATGATTTTGGCTCATCGCAACCTCCGCCTACCAGGTTCAAGTGATTCTCCTGCCTCAGACTCTCAAGTATCTGGTATTACAGGCACATGTCCCCACATCTGGTGAATTTTTGTATTTTTAATATAGATGAGGTTTCACCATGTGGCCAGGTTGATCTCGAACTCCTGATCTTAGGTGATCCACCGTCCTCGGCCTCCAAAAGTGCTGGGATTACAAATGTGAGCCACCATGCCCAGCCTAATTAATTATATATTCTTATTAACAGTATTTTATTAGATACGTAAGCAAGTTAGCCTATGTGAGTAGTCATTAAAATTAGTATTTAATGTGCATTTACTTTTAAATGTTTACAGTAGATACTACTACAAACAATTGCAAAGAAGGCCGAAAAACAACAAAAAATTTAAATTTTTTACAATGTTCTGGTGGGGAATGGTGGCTCAAACCTATAATCCCAGCACTTCGAGAGGCTACAGTAGGGGGATTGCTCGAGCCCAGGAGTTCAAGACCAGCCTGGGAAACAAAGTGAGACCCCCGTCTCTACAAAAAATAAAAAATAAAAAATTACCTGGGCACAGTGGTACAGGCCCGTGGCCCCAGCTACAAAGGACACTGAAGCAAAAGGATTACTTGATCCCAAGAGATCGAGGCTGCAGTGAGCTGTGTTCACGCTACTATATTCCAGTCTGGGCAACTGAGTGAAATGCTGTCTCAATAAATACATAAATGATTTTATACAAATAGCTAATTTGAATAACTCAAGACTAACAACTGAACTGTCTGTAAATCCAAAACTGGGAAATATAGTACATAACAGTTCATTGTGTTAAAGACATACAGCCTTAAGAACAACCAGAAACTATTATCTTAGAAGTTATGTACCACCGACAAAGTAAAAATGTAACTTGAGTGACAAATTTTTAGTTTCAAAGTTATATCTTAAATCTATTCCCTTGAAAGTTCTTTGCCTATCATATCTATAATGATTTAGATTAGGAGTGAGAAACACTTCCAACATGAAAATATTTTAAATCTAATGAATTTCTCAATGACTCTTGAAACATTAAGAAATACAAGATTGATTATAACTTTATGTAGCTAATCATACCCAGGAGTATTACTACTGTAATAACCTAGCAATGTTCTCAAAGCGTAGTCCATGACCATCTGACTCACCTGGAGGATGCCTATTAAAAATGCAGGTCGATAACTCCATTCCAAACATATCACATTAGAATCTCTGGTTGGTAGATTCTAGGAGAGCAGCAAGAAAAGATTTTTCTGCCTGCAAGAGAGAATGAGCAAGTGAGTGAGTCTTTTCAAATCTAATCCCTTAACATTATCAGAAAAATAACCTCAAATGCACATGTTCAACCAATCTTGGGTCATTAACATTCTTACAAATGACTGATACAATTAATCTGACTGTCCCATCCATGCATGCAAATTTTTAAAAGTTAAAACTTCCATTAATAATTCAAAAATAGTGAAATAGAAATCTCAAGTTTCCCCTTTTAGTGTAGGTTCTCCATGGAAAGTAAGAGCCTGAGACCTCTGGCTTATGTGCAGGTTCTTTATTTGGGAAAGCACCCAGACACAGGAGTAAGGGACAAGTGAAAGGAAGGAAGGAAGGCCAATACAAAAGTTTATCCTTGAGTTCATCCACCACTATAAATAAACAGGGCTCAAGCCCAGTATCTTCTTAGGAGCCATCAAACTACCCCAGAATAGCCTGTCAGAAGACACAAGAGAAGAGCACTTATCCACAACTTCTGACTTCCATCAGTTAAGAGTTGCTGCATGGGTTGCTAATTTCTTACACTTTCAAATTGCATACTTGTTTCTACTGGCTTCAGAGAAGCTCCTAGGGTGAGGGACTGTCAAGTTTCACCTGCATGAATCTGGTTGCCACTGAAATACTTGGAGCAAGTAGGGCCCAAGACGTGCCCAACATATCATGTTATAGGACAAATATAGTCAAACTGCTTTTTCTTTAGTTTTATAATTCTAATACAAAATACAATTAAAACAGATGTTCTGAGAAATGAGTACAGCAATTTCAAATGGAGAGGAAGGAACTTTTAGCCTATTTTTGTCTGATGTATTTGATCCATTCCCACAAAACCTGAGATGCACTGAAACTTGACCTTCTGTGAGAAAGGTATTTTCTAATAAACTTCAATTTATTTCCTGAATTTGGTTGCCAATTTTTAAAGGACCAAAGAGCAGCAAAATGAACAGTTAGTATGTACTCTGTAAATACTCTTATGTCCAGCATTGATCCAAAGACTTCATTGTTTAAGTTTTTACATTAGTAAAGTTATAGTAAAAACAGATTGACTACCCTCAAGTAACATTTTTCATTACAGTGAAACACACAATTTTGAATAGTACAAGTTTGTCTTGGACTGGGTCCAAGAGGGTCTAGTTACAAGAAGTAATTCATTATAACCTATAATGTGATCCTGAGGCTTGGCTCTGAAAAACACATTATATGAAGGCTCTAGTCAAGCAGATTAAAAATTTTAAAACTGAACAGTTAATCATGTACTTTAATTAAGTAAATATCATATTCGTTTGTATAATATGTAAACTTAGTTCAGAGAAAGTGAAGGAGAAACAGGTGCAAAGAAAAAAGAAATCTGACTAAAAGCACATCATCTTTTCGTTTAACTTGAATTTCTGTTAGAATAATTAAAGATGAGTTTAAAAAAAAACACTATCTCCTTAGAAGTTGGGGTAAAGTAGCTAATGAATTGTATAAAGATGAAATAGGAAAACTGAGGAGTGCACAGCAAATACAAAAAAGTGGAGATACATACTGCTGAAAAAAGCCCAATAATAACATATATTATTTTATTATTAATAATAATTGTGAGAGAGGGTCTCACTCTGTCACCCAGGCTAGAGTGCGGTGGCAAGATCTCAGCTCACTGCAACCTCCATCTCCCAGGCTGGAACAATCCTCCCACCTCAGCCTATGGAGTAGCTCGGACTACAGGCACACATCACCATGCCCAGCTAATTTTTATGTATTTTCTGTAGCAATGGGGTTTCCTCATGTTGTCCAGTCTGGTCTCAAACTCCTGGGCTCAAGCAATCCACCTGCCTTGACCTCCCACAGTGCTGGGATTACAGGCATAAGCCGCCGCGCTTGGCCAAAAAATAATTTCTTATAACCACTAATTCTGAAATAAATGAATAGATTAGTTTCTCCTTTCTATATCATTTTGCCATTGGGTTAGATGATATTTTAAATCCCTTGGAATATAACAAAATAACAACAACCATATAATAATACTATCTAACTTACCTGAACTCAATTATGTAAATCAAAATAATACATGTAAAAGCATTTAACAATATAGTGGAATCCTTTCTATAATTATAAATCTTTCACAATTTGCCTAGCAATTCAATAGTTTCCCTATAACTACACAACTTTAGCCATTGAAGAGATCTGATTAGCTGTAGCTCTTTTTTTTTTTTTTTTTTTTGAGACAAAGTCTCGCTCTGTCGCCCAGGCTGGAGTGCAGTGGTGTGATCTTGGCTCACTGCAAGCTCTGCCTCCCGGGTTCATGCCATTCTCCTGCCTCAGCCTCCCAGGTAGCTGGGATTACAGGCGCCCGCCACCATGCCCAGCTAATTTTTTTTGTATTTTTAGTAGAGATGGGGTTTCACCGTGTTAGCCAGGATGGTCTTGATCTCCTGACCTCGTGATCCTCCCGCCTTGGCCTCCCAAAGTGCTGGGATTACAGACGTGAGCCACAGCGCCCGGCCAGCTGTAGCTCTTAAATCTATCTACTGTTAACAACAGTTTCTTACATTGTTACAGTTTCTTACATTTCTCTCTCATTTAATCCTATCAACAATCCTGTAAAACACTCAAGGTACATATTATTACCTTCATTTCATTGATCAACAACCAAAGTACAGAGAAATTAAATTATTTGCTCAACAAGATTAGAATTAAAAATTAGAATTCATTCAGCAAATTAGATGGTGCAGCTGATGCCTTCCCAATATCAACTTATACAAATACATTACTATATACTTGCAATTATAGAACTCAACAATGATTCCCCATAATATAGCCTTTGCACATGCCTTCTGCCTGGAAAGCCTTCTGCCATTCTTCTCCCAATAGGCAAGCTGCTTCAAACTTCTCTTAATTCTTCTTTAAGAAATTTCAAATATATTATTCCATTCTTACAACAACCCCTTTGGGCACAGTATTAATATCCTCTTTCAGTGAGGGAAATAAGACTTGTCTAGGAAACATGCAGATAATCAGAGATAGGGTCAGAATTTAATCTCTCGTCCTATCTTCCAGCTCAGGACTCTTTCCATAGCACAAGAAGGCTGGGAATATGGCTATATGCCAGCATTGATTGTAGAACATGATCAAAATTTTTTGGAGCACTTCCTACTCTGTCCCTTCTGAGATTACAACATAATTTAAGACCCTTCAATCTACTTGATTTTAAATTTAGTACATGAAACAATTCACAACCAGGGCTGGGAAAGCCAGTATAACCATTTTTCTAATTCTATTAGAAGGCAATTTATATTCATTTCTCAAATGTACGTATCTGCCGTAAGGCAAGTAAAAAAAGCACGTGTACCAAAAATGCTAAGAAATAAATTAAATAGTCTAAAAAATGAAGTGAGATGATCATAATAGGTGTTTCGCTCCAATCCTAACTGAGGAAGCCCAGTTTATTTTCAACTCTGAGGCTAATTAAATCATGATCAAATTGTAAATACTTTTAGTTACCTCCTATAGTGTAAAGCATTTTTTTTGTTGTTATTGTTGTTCGTTTGTTTGTTTTATTGAGACGGAGTCTCACTCATCACGCTGGACTGCTGGACTGCAGTGGCACAAACTTGGTTCACTGCAACCTCTGCCTTCCCGATTCAAGAAATTCTCCTGCCTCAGCCTCCTGAGTAGCTGGGACTACAGGTGTGCACCACCACGCCTGGCTAATTTTTGCGTTTTTAGTAGAGACGGGGTTTCACCATGTTGACCAGGATGGTCTTGATCTCTTGACCTCATGATCTGCCTGCTTTGGCCTCCCAAAGTGCTGGGATTACAGGCATGGGCCACTGCCCCCGGCCAAAGTCTTTTGAAGTAAAAAGAAAAATGTACTTGCTCTGTCACCCAGGTTGGAGTGCAGTGCATGGCTCACTGCAGCCTCATCTTCCTAGGCTCAAGAGATCTTCTCGCTTCAGCGTCCTGAGTAGCTGGGACCACAGGCATACACACCATACCTAGCTAATTTGTTTTTATTTTTTATAGAAACCAAGTCTCACTATGTTGCCCAAGCTGGTCTCAAACTTCTGGGCTCAAGTGATCCTCCTGCCTTGGCCTCCCAAAATGCTGGGATTACAGGCATGAGCCACTGCACCAGGCTCTGACCATATGGTTTACAGTCATCCAAATCAGGACTTTTTAAAAGTAAAAGGAAGCTCTATTAATAATTATGCTAGAGCAATTAACCAGGACTGTCACTGGTAAGCTAGGGCATATGCTCACCTCACATAAGAGATGTACTACAATTGAGAAAAGGAAGGGGACTTTTTTTTTTTTTTTTTTGAGACAGAGTCTCACTCTGTCACCCAGACTAGAGTGTGAGCAAGTTCGACCTCCTGGGCTGCAACTTCAACCTCCTGGGCTCAAGCAATCCTCCCATCTCAGCCTCCCAAGTACTGAGGCTACACACAACACTGAACCCAGCTAGACTTATCTTTATTTTTATTTTCTTGTAGAGACAGGGTCTTGTTATGTTGCCCAGGTTGGTCTCAAGCAATCCTCCCACCTAGACTTCCCAAAATGCTGGGATTGTGGGCATGAGCTGCTGCACTTGGCCGGAAGCCTATCTATTTCAACGTTAGTATCCTAAATAGTCCACAAAAACAAACTGTCACCAAGAGTATGAGTTGAATGAAAACACAATTTCACTGTACATTTTTAATATTTCTGATTATAACTTACATAAAACTGAAAACATTTCTAGCTAAAACTCAGGATCTCCTCTAAGAACAACTTTGAATATAAAACATTTTTAAATTTTTTATTTTACCTTTGGAAAAGTAGCTATCAAAGCTTCCTTAAACTTAGACTAACATGGATTAGGAAAAACAAAAAGCCAATATTTGTAAGTCTATTTTTCTCAAGCATAATTAGAATAAAGACCAAAAAAAGAGACAGTGCTTAAAGATACATCTGTAATCCATGAAGCACATAATTACATTAAAGATCACAACTATTTGCTGGCAGTGAAT